GAGAATCGAGTTGCGAATAAGCAAGCTATAAGTTTAATTGTGTTAACAAGTAGTAAAGCGTTGTTATTGCTTTAACAAGTATTGTAAAGTGTTTTTACTGTATTAGCAAGTATTGTAAATTGTTTGTTGTACAATAAAGTTAATTGTACTACAATTCGGTCATCGTTAGCATTTATTTAACAATCCAGCGATACGAGCCCGAGTATATTTGGGTAATCCCTCAAGGGCTCAAGGATAATCGTAACAATCGCTTTTATTCGTAATATTACATTTTTCAAAACAACACGACATTTTGAAAAGCTTCTTGTACTCTATGTAGGTTCGAAACAAAGATAAGCTCAGTAACAGTCGGACAGTATCAGAATCAGTAGATTGATAGACGCTGATATTTAGGACTATTTTGAAAGCACTGTAGTGTTAAGTTTATTACGCACTGATAGAAACCAAAAAGTAAACAACACACGATCAGCTGTTCCTAATGGTTATTTCTCTCCGATGTAAAACGAACAAAGGCAAAGGTACAGGCAAAGAAAAAGAAAACTGCAAAAACAAATTTAAGGCAAATATGTATGTGTTCAACGCGAATAACAATCTGTAATGCAACAACAAAGCAGTTAAACAAAACAGAAATAGAAAATATTGCGATACCAACAAAATTTTTTCCTCTTTAAAAAGGCTTGATTTATGTAACTCAAGTAGATCACACGAGAACAACCAAAAAAACTTAACCGCGACGGCTCACCAAGAAGATTTCCTCAATCGAGAGTTATCAGCGAATAAAACACATAAAAATTTACAAAATGTAAGAGCAAAAGTGAAAGCTATCCGCACGGCACAAACGTCAACGAATAACGAGATAGTGAAGAAAATGTTAAAATACAAAATGTGCAAAATTTTAGTAAAATATTTTCAAAACTGAGGGAGTTTTTTTATAAAATAGTTAAAATTTAAGCAAAGTTTCAAGTACCAGCTATCTCCAAAAATGGAGACAATCAGGCAAAACTGGGGACGCCATTGAATTTAAAAGGCTCCAATTAAGTAAGAGCAACTATCAGAACCTTTGTCGAAAAAAATTTGATTTGATAACACGCTCGAAATATTCTGACTACAAGAAGGAGCATAAAGGTACTAAATCGGGGTTTTTACACACTTCTAGAGAACATTTTTTTGAAGCATTTTACAGGTATATGTAATGTTATAAGGCCTAGTAGTTATAAAAATATTTAGATATTTCGACGTATTTTCCAAATGTGCCTTCATTAAGATATTTTTGAAATAAAAATTACGCTCAAGATCGCAGAAATATATTAAGTTGCGTTTATTCTGAAGGCACACCTCTTGCTAAGGTGTGAAGATTATTCGTAATTGTTGTGGAATACAATACATACTTAAAAAGTTCTTAAAATTAAATGCTTCAAAAACTATACGCGATAAACCGAAAATGTTAAAAATTGTGAAATGTGGAGTTACAGTCTTTGAGTTACTTGCCATTTCGTTCTTTTCTAATGCACACTTCTCTTACCTACTACATATGAAGTATACACTAAGTGCTAAGTTCACTTGTGTTCATTATTATTTTTAATTTAAACACCTATAATTCAAGAGTTATGCAGCAAATTGGTATATAATTGGCAAGTATAAGTCAATGAATTATATCCAAAAGCAACCAGCTTGATATAGTTTCCAACAGTGAAAATAAAGCTAAATAACACCAAGGTTACCTGTTTTTTAGATTTGACCATATACATTGGGGCATGTTTATATTCGAAACAAAGTCGACTATAAAGTTAGTTGCCGCCATATCATTGAAAATTACGACAAAATGCAGCAACTAACTTTAGTGTCGACTTCATTTAGGCTATTAATACGCATTCTACCTAACTGGACCATACTGGACCATAATAACTGATAACACTGAACAGCTTATTCTGGGAGTTTATGCGCTCTATGTCGAGTATAATTACACCACTGCTTCACATACGCTGCTTCTCTCTGCCCTGCACTTGCAATGTAAGTATAACCAGCGCTTTATGCATACTTCGCATTGCATGAGAGTTGTCACTTAAGAAATCTGTTGAATGAGTTTTGCGTGTAAGCGGTTACCCAAGGCACAGCATTACATATCGCACACCATCTTCAAAAGAGTCACAACTCGAAATAATACGTTTGTCAGAAAATGCGAAAAACTATTTCTTAGCACATTATAATCATAAGGGCAAGGGCGACTTTACCTTAGGTTTTTTCTTAACAAATTACAACAAAAATTTGCTCCGGCTTTTGCTGAAAGGTAAATAAAAGCTCTGCGTACATTTTTAGCGCATAATCTCAAAAATGCCAAATTTTGAGTTGTGACTCTTTTGAAGACGGTGCGATATGTAGAAGTCTGTTGGTTTTTGATTTCAGAGTCTGAATATGAGCAGTCGATATATATCCAATTGCAAGAAACTTTTTTCTAATCCGAAAAGTCTTCAAGTACTAGGCTGAATTCAATGATTTTTATTTTAAGCACATATACAGTGACCCAAATATAATCTCGGACGCGGCAGAAAATCTTGGGAATTTTTCTTTAGTTAATTTAATGTTTGTTCGTTTTTATTACTATTACTAAAAAAAAATACCATTTAAACCCGAACTTCATACTTTGTGAAAATATTATGAAAATTCTGCAAATTTTCATCAAAATTTTTAAATTTTTAATCAGCATCTTTAGAAATTTAAAATTTAGTATAATAAAGTAAAAATTGAAAGCACCTAGCATTTACCGATGATTTTTGGCCATTTTTTGTTTACGGTGTTTCGCATTTTTACCTTCCTTTTATTAGCGCGGGACGTAACTATGTAATATTGTTGCGCCTAAAAGATGCAGCGATTTCTATTCTCAAGTTACATACATGATGACAGTACGAATGGCAATTATAATAGGGAGGTTTTGGTTTTTTAAACTATAATTTTATTACATATAAAAAACTAGTCGAACATACTTTGTGTGGCGAAAAAGTCGTAACACCGTCATTAAAATAATTCCAAAAGTCAGCAGAAAGTCCTCGTTAGCTCAAATTCGCACCTCACTATACAAGACTTTAATAAGACTACAAATAATTTTTCTACAGATGCTGACTAAAAAGCTAAAAATTTTGTGAAATTTCATAATTTTTCCAAAAATTCCGAAACTTGGATTTATATGGTGCTTGTTAAGTAATCAGCTACATTTTCATAAAAAATAATAAACATTAAAGAAACTAAAAAATAGCCAAAACNAAAATGCAGCAACTAACTTTAGTGTCGACTTCATTTAGGCTATTAATACGCATTCTACCTAACTGGACCATACTGGACCATAATAACTGATAACACTGAACAGCTGATTCTGGGAGTTTATGCGCTCTATGTCGAGTATAATTACACCACTGCTTCACATACGCTGCTTCTCTCTGCCCTGCACTTGCAATGTAAGTATAACCAGCGCTTTATGCATACTTCGCATTGCATGAGAGTTGTCACTTAAGAAATCTGTTGAATGAGTTTTGCGTGTAAGCGGTTACCCAAGGCACAGCATTACATATCGCACACCATCTTCAAAAGAGTCACAACTCGAAATAATACGTTTGTCAGAAAATGCGAAAAACTATTTCTTAGCACATTATAATCATAAGGGCAAGGGCGACTTTACCTTAGGTTTTTTCTTAACAAATTACAACAAAAATTTGCTCCGGCTTTTGCTGAAAGGTAAATAAAAGCTCTGCGTACATTTTTAGCGCATAATCTCAAAAATGCCAAATTTTGAGTTGTGACTCTTTTGAAGACGGTGCGATATGTAGAAGTCTGTTGGTTTTTGATTTCAGAGTCTGAATATGAGCAGTCGATATATATCCAATTGCAAGAAACTTTTTTCTAATCCGAAAAGTCTTCAAGTACTAGGCTGAATTCAATGATTTTTATTTTAAGCACATATACAGTGACCCAAATATAATCTCGGACGCGGCAGAAAATCTTGGGAATTTTTCTTTAGTTAATTTAATGTTTGTTCGTTTTTATTACTATTACTAAAAAAAAATACCATTTAAACCCGAACTTCATACTTTGTGAAAATATTATGAAAATTCTGCAAATTTTCATCAAAATTTTTAAATTTTTAATCAGCATCTTTAGAAATTTAAAATTTAGTATAATAAAGTAAAAATTGAAAGCACCTAGCATTTACCGATGATTTTTGGCCATTTTTTGTTTACGGTGTTTCGCATTTTTACCTTCCTTTTATTAGCGCGGGACGTAACTATGTAATATTGTTGCGCCTAAAAGATGCAGCGATTTCTATTCTCAAGTTACATACATGATGACAGTACGAATGGCAATTATAATAGGGAGGTTTTGGTTTTTTAAACTATAATTTTATTACATATAAAAAACTAGTCGA